TTACTTTGAAACTTGAAAAAGCGACGTAAAAACAAGTTTATTCAAGTGTTTCAAATCTCATCCGAAGAGGTGGTGTACTAAATCCGAACGAAACGGGAATTCGGTATTTTCTCTACCGGTTCGTCGTGGATCGCGAATATACTTGAATACACTCGAGTATACATGGCCATGCTTTAGAGGACCAACAAAACAAACGGCATTTCTCGTCGAGCTACGAAAATAGCTTCTCGATGATTCCTCGAAAACGTAAGTATCGCTTCGAGTACAGCCACTCGTTCATATTAGGCTTTTACCTTTAATAATTGAAATGAATAGGTTATGAACACAATGTGCTGAAGATTCAATATTTTCTTCAACAAGTCGCTTCAAATTGTCAATACTTAAACAAGCTTCATTTTTTTTTTCATTATTTAAACAGTATTGATTACTGTAATTATTGTTCTAATTTATCTTTTATTTTTTTATGTTTTGAGATGTATTTACATCTCATTTGTTTTAAATATACATACAATTAATAAATATTTTCAATTAAAAATAATGGAGCAGATTAAATATAATAAGCAAAATTTTGAAAGAGGAGAAAAATTTTTTGTAATAAATCATTTAAAAAAAAATAATATTAATCATAAAATAATGCTTTAAGATTAACGATAAATTATCTATATTTTAGAACAAGAAAGAAAAATTTTATATTTACAATTATAATTGACATTGCAATTAACATTCGTACAGATAATCACTTCTTTCAATATTGTTTCCATCAAGTATCCACTTTGATTCACTTCAAGTGAATCGAATTCAAATAAGTTGATTAATATTTCTCAAATGTACATAATAAAATAGCTATTCTTCAAGAATTATTATATTAAATTATATTATATTAAAAATTATACCCCCTTCTCGAGAACCAGCTTCCATTCTTCATTAACTTTTTTCTAAACATTTTTCTGAAACGAATGAAGATATGATTTCTTCGATGAGATTCGTTCGAATAGTCATTAAAGGTTGTTACACAAATGGCGCGAATGTAAAAAGGTTTTGTTCGAAGGGCGGACTAGCATCGACGATTCTCATATTGTTCACCACTTCGCGCTTTAATTACGCGGCGCAATGAACTTCGTAACTGCTTTCCGGACTTCGACCATCCCCTATACTCCAATAATCGACATACACACACACAAATTTTCTTCTTTTTTTTCTCTTTCATTTTTTTCTTCTTTCTCTTTTTTTCGAACATTTTTCTTATGCACATGTATATGTATAATGTAAATCGATTCTTCGTTCTGCTCGATTGACTATGGCATCGGGTTACTGCAACGTTGCGATAATAATACCTTCACCAGTTCTAAAAACCGGAGCGCATCGATTTTTTTCAACATGTACGTTGGTCATGATTACACATTTTATTTTCGAATGCAGATTTTTAGGACATATTGATCTATGTTTATGTATTACAATTGAACAATTATAGTTTTAAAATGTGATATCCGAGGAAGATTAAGATTAGATTATGAGAAAATTAATAGTTAGGTTATGAGAAAATAGATTGAAAATATAATAATTTTATTTTATATCATGATTTTATTATCTATTATTAACAATAGAAAGTTATTTTTTAATTATTTTTAGTTAATTATTCAAATATCAAATCATTTACATATCAAATATCAAACAATAAAAAGTAAATATTCTGAAAACCTTCATGATCATGTTCAATCATAGTATTTAATCAATTTCACGAATCGGCTTTGTGTAATACAATTTGATTCAATTAGCGTGCCCAATAACGATTAATGCTTAACAATGTCTTAAATACATGAAAGTGGAAAACTATTTAGTAAATAGAATAGAATGTAATGTTAAATTGACGGGGAAGAAAAGAGGGAAAGGGAAACCTCAACGGGATAACTTATGTAATCCCATTGAGCTTCGTTTCGCAAAGCTTTGTACCGAAAGCTGGTTTGTATACCACGAACAAAGCTTTTTTGCTGATCTAGTTAATATCACCAGCATGCAGAAAGCACATAAAACAAAAGAAAGTAGATTGCCACGTGGAATGCATGGTAAATATAGAGACAGTCGGGATAAATGCAATAAAAACTATATAGGTTTCTGAACTGGCTAATCGATATTTTACGATAGCCCTTAGTCGCCATGAATATATTCGCGTGCGCCTAACAAATTTTATTTATCAAAAAAAAGAGAAAAAGGAAAGATTTTATTCCTAATTTTTTCGTGAAATAATCAATGTGCATAACGCACGAAAATTCGAAGCATTTCTTTGAATTAAATTTTATTCCATAAAAGCATAAATTGAGCACAAATAATATCGATTATTTTCCAATTTTTTTATTTTCCGATTGTTTATTTAATAATTTTGATAAATGATAAAAAATAATACGTGATTTATTAAGTTATTAATAAATAATTTATTTTTTATTAAATTTTTTTGTCATATACGTCAATAATTTATAATTAAATATATAAATATTTATGAAATTGATGTACTGAATACTGAATATTGATATATTGAATATAAATTTTATAAATTGGAATAAATATCTGTTAATCTTGCAAAAAATATTATATTATAAATGTTTGAATTTATATTGAATGTAGTATATATATATAGTAATTATATAATTGAGAAATATTGATATCAAAAAAAAATATCGATAACACAATAAAAAAAAAATATTTCATAAATGAAAAAAATTTTTTGTAACGAAACTTTCATTACGAAAAACATATTTTTATTTATTTCATTTTTATTAAACTAAAAAATATATCGATCGTTAATCGCGAGAGAATATGTTATATGAATAAAGAGAAAACATTTCAACGAAAGTTGTTGATGACAAAAGCTTTCGATCCCAAATATATACTACTATAAACAGCAATACGTACGATCAATAATATCAGTCATAAATCTTGAACATACAGAATTCTAACATTAAAACGATATCAAAAATATGTTGTGAGTAAAAAAAAAATTAAATAACTTATTATATATAAAAAATAAAACAGAGAAACAAAGAAATTGAAACAATATAAAAAAAAAATTTCACCAGATAAATATAACCAAAAAGTTTCCAAGTATATCGATTTGTCATTTTGTCTAGTTCATTTCCCGTAATAAAATTATTATAAAATAATGTGAAATATAAATTATCGGAAGGATCAAACAGGAAGTTAAAGATAGATCATCAAGCAGGAAGTTGCAAAGGAATGAGGAACGTGCAGATGCCTAAGTTTGAATCAATACAATAAGTGGGCCAGGTAGGGGTGTATAAGATCGCCCGAGGAGACAGAGGAACGGCCGGGAATGTGGGACAGTTTCGATGCGTACAGAGGAACATGCGAAACGGAGTGATCAAAAGGCGCGGTTAATTTCGGATTTCTCATAATTTAGATTCTTGTCAAAGTAATGTCAATCTTAATATATAGATAAAGAAAATCAAACAAATAATCTTTAACAATATCATACAATCTTGAATATAATACTGAAATCTATATTATAAAATTAATATTATAAAACTTTATAATATGAATAATTGATAATAAAATATTAACATTTATATTTTCAAAATAATCCAAATATAAATCTTCAAACATATATCATAAAATTAAAGATAAATATTAATTATTGAAAGTATTATATAATTTCTAACAATATATAATTGGATTATAAATCAATTTTAATGATTATATAGTGATATTCCATGCTCTAAAAAACTGTTATTAATGGTATTTGACAATGTGAATCAACTGAGAATAATGTTTTGGACCAGTGCCGAGTAGAGGAAGCAACGTGTGTCAGTGGAACATTGTTTAGAAGGGGAACAAACACTTCCTTTGCCAGATAGGATATATTTGCTGGGACAATGTCCGTTATATTACATTAGACGCATATAAAGTTAATCTTATTTGTCGAGGTTTATCGTTGCCGTTATAATATACCATAACGGTATTTTATAAATAAGATAATATTCTTTTTGCAAGTGCAACAAAATTAAAGCTTTAAAATCCGTGAAACCGTATTAGTACTTTCAATGCATCGATTTTAATCATAAAATTGAAAAATAATCATTTTTTTCAAATATTATTCTATTCTAATACAATTTAATATTTATATTTTTTAATTAATCACAAATAATCACAATTATCATTCATTTAAATCATTTTCCATGTATATTTCAGAATAAAATTCATTATCTGCAGCTAATAAAATAATAAACGTTGATAATTTGATAATGATATATGAATATAAAATAGAAAAATATTAAAAATTATTACGAATTTTCTATTTTTTATGAAATTATATATAATCTATTCATTAATCATAATACAAAAAACATACGAAATCATGCATGTGTAATCAATCAACATAGTTCGGAACGCCGTCACGAGATACAGTGATGTACCTAACCTGGCCTGCCGGTGTACGTACCTTGGACGCTTTTGATGCGCGTGTCTCCAGGAAGGGTGAGAAGAAAAAAGTGCCGACGGTGTGGGGTCGCCGTCCCCGACAAAGATTCTTTTCGTATCGTTATATCACATACGCGATGTCATTAGAACAACTGCTGTTCTGAGAAAGTCGCCTGAGTGGCGATGCAACGACACTTCTCGTGGCACTCGAGTGCTATTCTGAACACGGGACAGAACTGTCAAGAAAACTAAAAGCGTCGATTCTATGAACTGTTACAACAAATACAATTTATCCGAATGTAATTTTCACACGAATATGTAATAATATTGAACCTGCTTCGAATGAAAGTTACTAAATTTTACCCAACACAAAAATCTTGCAGTAAACAAACTCAATGCAATCTCGACGTATTGTGCATCACGAGCCTCGCGGCCATCACTAATTTCAACTGGCACTGTTAGTGGCGCCATCGCCTCTTTAGACGGAAGAACAAGGAACTGGACCATTGCGCGCGCGATAGTCGTGAATAATGGCGAAATATGTGAGTACTTATATGTCACACAAAATTAATATAAAAGATTTTTTTTATTTACTTTATTTTTATTTAAAAAATATTCACTCATAACGATATTTAAAAATATCTGATTTGATATACTGATTGAATTACAATGTATAATTAAATAATAGTTTAATTAGATTATTCATGAATTCTTATTTCATGAATTCTTATTTTACGTAAATATACAAAGAAGAAGTACATTTCATACGGTAATGATTTGAAAGATATTTTTAGTATTATTAAGCAAAAAATTTGATATTTTAGCTATTAATTATTTTTTTTACAGTTAAAAATTGTATTTTTTAAAATTGATAAAAATACTCATAAATTAGGGTCCTTTTTCATTGCCGCGAGTATATTGTAAATAATTAGCACTTGAATAATTGCATAACTCGCAAAAACCAGGTAATCCTTGAGGTCCAGGTGGTCCCCTTATCCCAGGAATACCTGTCGATTCGAAACGAAACTAAAAATATCTGAAAAAGAATTTAAAAACGTGTTTTTAATTTTTTTTATACCTGGTCTGCCTGATTCTCCACGTTCTCCTTGTCTTCCAGGTAATCCAACGCCATCATTGCCAGGTGGTCCTATTAATATAAAATGCATAAAAAAAAGAATGCTAAATTTATCAAAATAAAAGAAAATGAAAGAAAATGATGAAAAGATGAAAAAAAAGAGTTCATGTATTACCAGATGGTCCTCTTGGACCCATAGGACCTTCTACACCGACACCTTCCGGACCTCTATCACCCTTTTCTCCCCGTTCACCAGGTGGACCTTGAGGTCCTATATGGCCTTGTGGTCCTGGTAAACCAATAAAACCACGTTCCCCAGGTAAACCTGGAAGACCTGGATCACCTAAAAAATAATTTTCCATTATAAATTAATTCTAATTTTAAGGTAAAAAATATATTATTAAGATATTTAATATTATGAGCATGCATTGCTAATTACTTATAACTATATATAAATTAAATATATTATTTCCTTTTTCTAAAGTTAATTTTAATACAATAAGGAATAATGGATTAAATTTAATTAATTAGATTAGACTGAATCGCTATAAAAAGCATAAGAAGATAATAGAATTAGGATATTTCATCTCAAGTAGATACCTGGGATGCCTTGGGTTCCGGCTCGACCGGGACGGCCCTGTCGGGCCAACCCCGGCAACCCGGGTGGTCCTCGTAGACCTTCTGTTAGTTCTTTCAGCTTCTCTGTGACACATGCAAGATTCCATCGCCTTTATCGATGTACACAGTCATATGAGTTGTTAATTTCCGATCGATTGACTGTTAATCGAGCGGACGTGCGTGTAGGTAAATAAATCATACACTGATGAATGCTGACTCTAACTACGGATGAAGGTGGAACTTCAAGCAATTTATGACAGAATAATGACGACGAATATCATTGTGATATTTCAGGAACGCTAAGGATATTATTGTGCAATAACTATTCACCATTTACTATGGATTTTTGGGATTATTTTAAAAATGAAAAAAATAACAAAAATCCATAGCAATATCACCATCATGTTCTATTATGGTTTTAGGATTGAATGCAGGTAAATTAAATTGGTAATCCTTTTTTCAGGGGTATACCTGGACGACCTTGTGGACCAGGTGATCCAGGACGACCTGGACGGCCTCGGCCAGGTGGACCAGGTGGACCTTGTATCTGTGCTGCCATCTCAGTCATCTGCTCTATATATGTACAGCCGCAATAAAAGGAATAGTTATCTTTCTACTTTTTTTTTT